AACATGTCGTATTGTGTAAAGTTCGTGTCGTATCAAGACATTAAACAGGTTGAGAGGGCTTGACCCTAACCTAACCCGTTTGATTTTGTGTCGTGTCGTCTCAACCCGTTTATTTTCGTGTCGATTTCGTGTCTGGTTTCGGGTTAGGGTTTAAACCTTGTAAATATGTTATGTCATGTCAAGTTGAAACATTTTAAAAGGTTAGAAAGTAGGAGACAGAGAGGCGAAAAAGAAAAAGTGAAACACTGGAGTTGGGAGGTGGAATGACAAAATTCATAGTAAGTTTAGAAAGTAAAATAGAAAGAGTTAGAGTTAGGGAACAAATGGGATATGTGGCGAGGATGAGTAAATTAAAGTTACTTGAAAGTTTGAATTTTATTTTTAATTCTTGAGTTTGGTCTACTACAAGTCTATAATATATAATATATTTATAAAAATATGAAATTTATAACAATAATATATAATTAAATGGGTTATATTCGATTTTATCTTCGAGTTGAAAGTCTTGACCCTAACTCTATCCGTTTAATTATTGTGTCGTGTCGCGTCAACCCGTTTACATAAAACGTGTCAAAATCTCTTACTCAAACCTGTTAATTACGTGTCAAATCGTGGTGTCGTGTCAGGTTTTGCCAGGTCTACGGTAGATAGCGAGGAAGATCAATTTGGGGCTCCATGGGGTTTACTACAAACGTAGTGACGGTTCCACTATGGTGTCCATAGTGGCACCGACAACCCCTGCTTTTTTCAGATATAGTTTAAAAAATTTCAAATTTTTCGTTTTTTTTATTATTGTGACACTACGTAAAAGAAAAAATGTGCTACCGGCAACACCTACTACGAAATCTTGCATCCGTCCCTGTACAAACGCGAATAGTGCAGATGTTGACTGTGAACATTTTATATTTCTTTTTCTTTTTTTAATCCTTGGGCCATCTATGTTTGCATGTATACATGAGTTTCCTCCCTCTTTGTGGACCGCATTAATACCCCGTGGGGAAGGGGTACTGATTTGTAACAATTTATTAAACTATACATAAATGTGACTTTTGAATTATTTTCAAGTACCAACCATTTCTTATGTTTTCTTGGACTCGTCAATTAGCAATGTATCGATGTCACCTTCGATAGTTATTTTGTACTTCAGAAATTAAATCCCACATCTAATTTAATTTCGATGATTAGTAGAGATACACATTTTAAGTGACACAAAAAACAATTTAACAAGTATTAAATCCCAACCGATATGATTTAATCAATAATCAAACTTAATTTTTAACATCAAATGTTAACCAATGACTAATTTAGTTGCTTTTAAAACACAAAGATATACGAGTATATACTTTCATAATCAAAAGTCCTAACCAATTCTAATTCAACCGTTAATCAAATTGACCCTAAAACGAACTAATGAGCCCCTAAACACCTTCTATTAATTGCAACAGTAACAACCAACCACCCCATCACAAAAAAAATATTTACCTCTCTTCCATGGCATTGACTTGGTGCAACCATGTGTGACCTAAATTTTAAAGTCGATGGCCATATGCGTCTTTCCCTCACCCATCATTTCGGGACACAGGCTCATTAGTTCGGGCCTCTTTGAGCGATCTAGGTAACTATGGCTAAAGCACGCCTGTGCTTTAGCCACTTGTACATTCGCAGATGGTATTGCAAAATCGCAGATGGGGTAGCTCCATCTGCGATTTTAGTGGCTAAATTTGTAATATTGATTTTTTTTTGGCTATTTTCCACAAAGTAATTAGTGTATTAGGCTAAATTTGTAATTTTCTCTAATGATAATAATAATAATAGTAATAATAATAATAATAATAAATTGTTAAAAGAAAATAAAAATGAAAAATGAAGGTTAAGTAAAGCAAGGATGCCCAAACTGTAATATTGATAAACCATAGGATGCCTGTTTAGTGATCAAAACTAAAAATCTGAACAAAGCATAATTACCATTTCTATAATTTACTCTTTATTGGAAACTGATACACTATAGCAATATGATGTTTTCAGTCCCTTCAGTTATTTCTTTGAGTTCGAAAAGTGAATCGAAAGTCATATGCATGTGATAACATACAAAAGCAGGATATTTTATTGGAATATGATCGAGATACAACCGGTTAAATAAACATTAGTAACAAAATAACCTAAACATGTATTATTTAAGAGTACAACACAAAAATAAAAGGGTTATATATATAATATTAATTATCTATACAATAAAAGGATTAAGGGGCTGTTTGTTTGGCAGGAATGGAATGAAATTCAAGGGAAAAAGATTCCAATTCCCTTGAATTCCTGTGTTTGGTTCAGCTTTAAGGGAAGAAAAAAAAATCCTAAATGAAATAATTTTCCTTCAAACAAAGAAAGTTCATTCCTTCACCATCGTAATGGAATTAATTCCTTCCTAACATGGAAAGTACCATATTACAATTTTGCCCTCACTAAATATTACTATACGCTTCATCAGGTAAACCTAGACACCATCTCATTCTCGTTCAGCAGCAACCTCTCCATTGCGTCTTCTCCGCTTCGTCTTCTCCACTTCGTCACAGGGTCGTTCAACCAGCTTCATCGCAGCTTCATCGCAGGTAATTTTCTTTCTCTCTCTCTGTACCTCTCTCTCTCTCTCTCTCTCTCTCTCTCTCCCTCTCTCTTTCATCGCCCAGCTTCATCGCAGCTTCATCCAGAGCTGCTGTGACATCGCTGGAGGTTTTTTTCTTCATTCGCTATTGTGACCCCTATGATATCATGATATCAGAATCTGAAAAAAAAGTCCCTTTAATCGCATTTTATACATTCAGGATGCTTTTTGTTGTACAGAATCGAGTCTGTTTTGGCTTTGAAAGGATCTGAACCATACTTCCATACTTTCCAATGAGATTGTGAGAAGTGATCGAATTCTCACTTTGTTCTTGCTCTTGATCGTGATTGATTGGTTAATATGCATAATTGTATCATTTGATATAACAAAAAGCAGTCTGATGTTTACCCTTACCAGAAGTATCCCTTTTTTGTTAATCTTCAAAGTTTGTCATAATTTAAATACTGATTTAGGGAGTTCTTGATCATACACACTTATTTGTCTAATGCATTGTATCAAGTACGGTTGCTAATAACATTTTTTGGAATCGATAGAACAAAATTTTTGTTGTGGTTTCATTTTCTTATGTGAAAAATTCTGCTGTAGTTTCATTTTCTTATGTGAAAATAATCGATAGAACAAAAATTCTGCTGTGGTTGCATTGTATCAAGTTATGTTTTTTTGTTGTTTTGTTGTGGTTTCAATGGAATATGTATACTATTTTTCTGTTTTACAATTTATATAATGTATCTTTACATATAAATTAAAAAATTAAAAAATAAAATAAATTAAGCAAAATAGACAAAAAGGGCAATTCTGTCATTTTACATGGATTCCAATTTCAATTCCTGCGAACCAAACAAAATCTGGAAATAATTCCAATTCCATTTCCTGCCAACCAAACAGGATATGGAATTGGATTCAAATTCCTGACAGATTCCTTTTCCAATTCCAAATGCAATTCCTTCAGCAACATTCTGCGAACCAAACAGCCCCTTAGTATTGCCATAAAAAAGCTCCCATAGCGAATGCCCTCTTATGGTTCTCATCTCCTGCTATCGGGAGACCATAAGATTTGAGCAAGCAATCAAGCTTCCACTCAGGCATGGTCTCGTATTCTTTCCGTGTGTATCTTGGGTAGTGCAATGGCATTTCAAAATGCCCACATCGATCTTGCACTTGATTTCCATTAGGAATTGGGTGTACCATAGACTCGGTTCCCCCACTGATCATATTTGTGTTTTATAATATACTGTATTTAACAAGTAGTGTTGAGAAGCATCGGTATTTATAGGCTCAAAAAAAGGGAAAAAATGTGATGAGTTGTTAGGGTAGGTTGTAAAATAAATACGGAGAAACCAATAGATAGCGATGGGTAAGAGAATATTCGGTTTTATTGTCTTTGGCTTTGTAAAGTTAACAAGAAGCATTAATTAATTATATGTGTTTAAACTTTAAACAAAACAATAATAAATAAAAGTTAACATGCCATTTTTTAGAAGACATTGTTGAAAAAAGTTGCATCAAGTACGGTATATAAAATAAACTTATATATTTTATATAATCTATAAAAGATAAATCCGAACACAAGTATAAAACCTACTTTTTATTGGCAAACATAATATATAAGTTCGTTTGTATGTATGTATGTGTTAATGTGTGTATATGTATGCATGTTAAGTTTAAGTATCAAATATTATTACTTCTTTTAAAAAAGGATATCGAACGAACATGGGTTTCCACGTAAAAAAATGATGATATATTAATTAAAACAGTGATATAAATCTATGTAAAATAATCCATATCAACTTAGTTCATATGTAAAGGGCGTTTGGGATTTTGTTTTAGTGTTTGGATAGATTAAAATTAAAATGTTTATTGAATAAAATGATGAGTTTTTTATAAGTCAGTGGATTATTACTTATTTAAAATAGCTTGTGACTTATTTAAACTAATTTACCATATTAACCGTATTGTAATATATATATATATATATATATATATATATATATATATATCCTTATTGATCATTTTACATCTATAAGCAGAAATTGTCAAAAATCAAAATACAACTTATCAACTTATTGCGTTTTCATACCAGATAAGTTAATCTAAACATTTTTTTGTAAAATTTCGATTTGACAACGGAAAAACTAATAAGCATTGTTAAGTGTAAATACATATTTTGAAGAAATGCAAAATATAGGTTTGAGGTTCCTGTTTTTCATTGCTTTGTTATGCCCTCATCTTATATCCAAAGTTTGTCCGTTTAGTTGATACTGTTGTTTTGTCATATTGTTTCATTGTGCATGCATATCCGAGTTTGACACTAATCCAAAGGGTTAATAGAGATCATGCAACAAAAATGATAATGACAAATGTGTATTACAATTTTGTGAATGACATCTGATATGTACTAAGATTGTATTTGGCACTCTAGCTCATAAGCTATATTAAATAGTTTATTAAAAATTTATCTTATAAGCTAGTTTATTCCCACAGCATTCGAAAAGTTGCATATTTACCTGATAGGAGAAGTTTGAGTTCAGTTTGTAAGCAGGTAGAAGCATAAATGGCGATTGATGGGAGTTTTGGTGTTGAATATGAGCTGCAAAGGTTTCTTCTTCGGTGTCCCAAGCTTGCGGCTGCTCCCCAATTAGATAACTTAGTCGAGAAGGTATTGAAGAGTTCATCTTTTCTCCAAGGACCTTTTTTTTTTCACATGTTGCTCTTCTCTCGCATCTGATTTTGGGTTTGTTTCGTATATGCTATCTACAGGGGAAAATTTTGACAGAGAAAGAGTTGATTGATGGAGTAGCTGAGTTACTTTTACATCCTCGATATACAATTCCATTATTGGGATGCTTTCGTCCAATAGCACGAAAGATTGTCGACCGGGTTGTTGCTTTACTACATTTGGTGCCCGATTTGACATCAAATTCCAATGATTCAATGATTGAGTTCGATGATGGAAGATTATTTAAGGATACTGAAAGTTCAGATTATGAACAGGATATTTCTGTTATTAATTTATATGTCAAATATGGGAGAGGTCAGGGACTTCACGAGCTTTCCTGTTTGGCATTTTCACGAACACTTGATATGCTACCTTATCTTACTGGGTAAGTTCACTTTGTACACTCTCCCTTCTCTCTCAACTATGCTCCACAGTAACTTACCCTGATTACTTTATGCAGGTCTGTAAGGGATTACTTTAAGTTTGCACCTCCTCCATTTAAAAGGATGATGGAAAAGGAATCAATGGCCCAATCATTAGTGCAGGTACTATTTCTAAAACGTATTCTGTTCTATGTCCTTTGAGATTATGTCACTCATGGGTCTATACTGGTAAACCCTGTTATGGCAATTGAGTAATTTTGCTTCTGATTTTATCAGCCAGGAACACATCTATTAGATGCTGTGCGAGTATCATATCGTCTCCTTTTAGCAGAGCCTGAAGTTTTTGCTAAGCTATGGGATTGGTCATGTTATATGGACCTTGTACATGAGATCACTAGTCTTAACAATGGAGAAAATACAGAGATTTTGATGGACATAAGATGGTGTGCAGTGCAAACATTAACAATGGTTTTGAAGATGAGTGACAAGTTTATTAGAAAAAGTAAGACGCGTGACTTGGCAACTTCAGATTTTGGGTTCGATGATGAAAAAGCATATGGGTGTTTATTAAGGTTAGTTTTTTCATCAGTGACAGAGTGAATCTATTTCTGATTTGTTCACTTCTTATATTATTTATGTTTATTTGTTTATAGGTGGAAGGAATTTCTTCAGGACGTGTCATTAGAGAAGGCTGGTTGGTATCTTGAACCATTTAGGGAAAACACAAGTGTAGGGCAACCAAATTGGAGCAATATGGAGGCAAAATGGTGAAGCGTTATTAATCTAATTATTTTATATGCAACATATCTTGTTGATGTCCTCTCTTGTTCATTCCTTTTATACTATTTGAAGTTATTTTGTTATATGCTATTAGGGATACACTTAAAACTGGAAGTCCTTTTGTTTTAACATCTGCTGTGAAGAAAAGTTTTGAGATGGTATTGTTGGCAGTGAGTCAGAGGTGGCCTGTTCTTCTTTATGGTCCAGCTGGCGCAGGCAAAACTGCTCTCATTAGCAGGTTAGCCCAGGGGCATGGGAGTCAAGGTATGTTATTTTTGTTTATAGTATTTGAAATTTGAAATTCTTTCACAGCTTTAAATATTTCCTTTTTATATCTGATCTTTTCTCCCTTTTAGTTCTTTCTATTCACATGGATGAGCAAATTGATGGAAAAACACTAATCGGGAGTTATGTATGTGCTGAACAACCTGGTGAATTTAGGTGGCAGCCTGGTTCCCTTACTCAGGTTAGTTACTTCATTTTGTTTTGTTTATTTTGTAATTATTAGTTAGCTGTAACTCTAATATGGATGCTTTTTTTGCTACTTATAGGCTATCATTAATGGACTTTGGGTTGTTTTCGAGGACATTGATAAAGCTCCTGCAGATGTACAATCCATCTTGTTACCTTTGCTAGAGGGTGCTACTTCATTCTTAACAGGCCATGGGGAGGTTTGTTGTAGTTAAATTCTTAAAATAGACAATAATAAGTATAACAGGCCGGATCTTACCGCCTTAGAATTAACGTTCGGCCCATCATCGTGATTTGAATTGTTTAAGCAAAAATTATATTATATATAAATATATTTTGGAATAATTAAAAAAAAAGACAAAACTGCAAACGGTCTTGTGTATGAATTTTTTTCGGGTTTTAGTCCAAACTCCGACTTTTTTGAATTGGTGGTTCAGCTAGTTTCATTGCAGGATTGGTCTTTGTTAAATTAAATAAAGAAGGGACCACCTCTCTCTCTCTCTCTCTCTCTCTCTCTCTCTCTCTCTCTCTCTCTCTCTCTCTCTCTCTCTCTCTCTCTCTCTCTCTCTCTCTCTCTCTCTCTATAGATCGAAAATGGTCATTGTTCATGTATGAAATTCAGACAACTACTTCATAAAAAGTAGGGGTGAGCGCGGTGCGGTTCGGTTCGGTGCGGTTATTAGCTAAAACCTCACCACTAACCGCAAATGCAGTTAATCCATCTTCAAAACCGCATGGTGCGGTTATTTTTGCGGTGCAGTTAGGCGGTTATTTTTGCGGTGCGGTTTTGTTTTTTCTGTGTTGCGGTTGATGAACTCTTCAATACCTTCTTGACTAAGTTATCTAATTGGGGAGCAGCTGCAAGCTTGGGACACCAAAGAAGAAACCTTTGCAGCTCATATTCAACACAAAAACTCCCATCAATCGCCATTTACACTTCTACCTGCTTACAAATTGAACTCGAACTTCTCCTATGAGGTAAATATGCAACTTCTCGATGGCTGTGGGAATCAAAAGAGCATAAAAAGTGGACACATACTAACAAACAAATTATTGAGTGACGACCGCCATTACACGCTCTAATGAAAAAAAATACGTTTGTTAAAAGGGAAGACTAACCTGAGTCGGAGAGAAGGTAATTAATTGAAGACGAAATATGATTGTAAAGGTTGTTTTCAGGTGAAGAAATGTATTGTTGTAGGAGTGACTTGTGTTCTTGCTGCCAGGGCAAAGGGTTTAGGGTTTAAGAGTAGAATAACATTAAATACATTTCTGTGCGTACGCTAGAGACGAGGGATAAATGTCTAACAGGCCGGATCTTACCGCCTTAGAATTAACGTTCGGCCCATCATCGTGATTTGAATTGTTTAAGCAAAAATTAAATTATATATAAATATATTTCGGAATAATTAAAAAAAAAAAAGACAAAACTGCAAATGGTCTTGTGTATGAATTTTTTTCGGGTTTTAATCCAAACTCCGACTTTTCTGAATTGATGGTTCAACTAGTTTCATTGCAGGATTGGTCTTTGTTAAATTAAATAAAGAAGGGACCACCTCTCTCTCTCTCTCTCTCTCTCTAGATTGAAAATGGTCATTGTTCATGTATGAAATTCAGAAAAAGTAGGGGTGAGCGCGGTGCGGTTCGGTGCGGTTATTAGCTAAAACCTCACCACTAACCGCAAATGCGGTTAATCCATCTTCAAAACCGCATGGTGCGGTTATTTTTGCGGTGCAGTTAGGCGGTTATTTTTGCGGTGCGGTTTTGTTTTTTCTGTGTTGCGGTTATTAACCGCATGGATTTGGTGCGGTTATTTTGTGTGGTTAAAAACCACAGTTTACAGCTAAAATAGTTTTAAGAGTTTCAACATATTACTTGTAATAATAAAAAAACCATAAGGTATGAAACAATTAACTTAAATCACAAACAACTAATATCTTAAAAACGTCAAATCAATAGTATTAACAATAAATATCTTAAAAATGTCTAATTTTATCATTTTTCAAAGTTAAATATAAGAAAAAACCAATACTTTTGTCTTTAGTATTTTATCCATCTTTCATTCATGACACTTGTCTTATTTTGAATATTTAATAAATTAATAATTGATAAAAAATTATATATAATATATGCGGTGCGGTAAGGTTTTTTTGCGGCTTTTGAAAACTAATAACCGCACCGCACCGCAAATTTGCGGTTTTTGAAAAACAGAAAACCTTACCATCGGTTTTTATTGCGGTTGTTGTTTTGCGGTTGCGGTTTATACGGTTTTTGCGGTTAATTTTAGTTGCGGTGCGGTTTTTGCTCACCCCTAATAAAAAGCTTGTACCAAATAAAGCACTCGTGAATCTGATTACACAATGGGATAGCAAAATTTGGGTTAAAATAACTGGATTGAAGCTGTGAAGGAACCGACATGCTAGAATCGGAGCTCCGGAGTGAAATTGTTGGAAGAGGTGGTGGCGATGGTGATTACTTGGAGGTTTGATCTGTTGGATCGAAGTGGATGGTTATTAGTGTCGTTGAACATCCTCTTGCAGAAGTGGACACATGTCAGTGGGATGTTTAGTTTTCAGGCAGATCCACATGACTTTTTCATAGATGCAACTCCTTTTTTTTGTCAGCAGCAAAACTGTTTTCGTTAGTTCATAAATTTAGGCTTCTAGATGATGCGAACTAACTTTTTTTACATCTCTTGGCTGGTCAGGATACCACTTTTATTCATTACCAATGTTTCGACACGATAGAAAGTTTTTCTATTAGCTCCTGGATTTCAGTTGGTGTCATGTCGCCTAACGATCCACCACTTGAAGCATTTATCAGTTGTCTTTTCATGGGTGTCAGACCTTCGCAGAAACACTGATACAGCTGATAATCATTGATTTCGTGTTGCGGGCAAGGAACAAGGAGCTTTTTGAAGTGCTCCCAGTATGGGTGTAAAGCCTCTTGTTTTCCTTGTTTGATAGAAAGGATCTCTCCTCAAAGGCTCGAAACTCGTGCTTCTGGAAAATATTTTTCTAAGAATTTCGCGAGCTCGTTCCAGGTGGTTAGGGAGTCGAATGGTAGATCCTAGAGCCACTTTTTTGACGAGCCTTGAACTGAAAATGGGAATGCCCTTAACTTGATCTGGTATTCAGTGATGGTATGCGGCTTCATTCCAGAACATACCACATGAAATTCCTTGAGGAATTTATGTGGGTCTTCATTTTCAAGGCCTTTAAATGTGAGAAGGAAGTGTATCAGCCCAGATTTCAGCACAAAATTTTGGGCTTCTAGAAAGGTGATGTAGGGAGGCTATTGAGTAACCTCTTACTCGACCGTCCCATACCCTCTTCTATAGGCTCCTCCCTCTCACTGGATGTAGCTAGGGGTGAGCATGGTTCGGTGTCGACCTAAAACAGAACATAAACCAAATCATATCAATTTTTGATTTCTAAAACTAAGCCCAATACCCAAATCAATGGATTTGGTTTCTTGAATTTTGGTTCGGTTTCAGGTTTGATCAATTTTGAAAGCGAATAAACTAAACCTTAGTTTTTAAATATTAACCAAGGAATTTTGCGGTTATGACTAAGCCAAATCCCAAACCAATGGAACACCTTAACCAATGAACCAAGCTTCATTATTTATTATTGTTCACATAACTCATAAATTATATACAAAATATTCACATAATAAATATATTACATAAAAATCGGTTCGGTTTGGTTTTTTTCGATTTTCTCTAAAACCAAAATTAAACCCAATATTTTGGTTTTATTAAAAGTTCAAACCCAAACTGTCAAGCAACCAAGAGGAAAGGGGCAAAGAGGTAAAATCGTAAGAAGGATCTAACCCTAGGGACGGGTTTTAGCTTCTACTTATAGGAGTATGGTTTAGTTTCCTCCTTAGATAATTACTTGGTCACTAAGTAATTATCTCTAAAGATTTGAATTTCGAATCTTTCACTTTAAACCCTAATGATCTATAAGTACTTCAAACAACTTTTCATGCTTTTCTTTGAGCAATTTTTAAACAAGCATAACTCATCACTCATATGGAATTCAAATTCCATGATCTTTGATGTTCTCAACTTTCTTTATAGAGTTCGTTCAGAATTCTCCTAGATTTTGAGTTATTAAGCTCTAAAGATGGTACCGACATGACACAGATATTGAAAGAAATAGGAGATTATGTTGATAAGTTAGTGGACACGACGGATTACTTGCATGTCAATTGTTGGGTCCATCAAGAGTTTCCTCAATTGGATTTCAAGGTGTTTCTTAGTACATTATTTGATGATTTTTATAAATGGGTGACACGGATTTCCATCATGAAGCATAAAAGTGGGTCAAATGAGATTTCAAAAGTTTAAATATTGCTCAAGCATTACTTACATTTTTCGTCTTTGAAATAATTTTCGCATCCACTTTGACAAATTCTTAGCAAAAAAAAAATACAACTTATTAGGCTCTTTAGCTGATCATATTTTTAGTAAACTAATGGTTAACATTCAAAATCCTTCTAACAATTGGGTTTTACTGGATCAGGATGGGCCTGGGCCTGCTTAGAAAGCATGCAATGTAGTAGACAATATCAGCAAGTGAAAAAATGGAGAGCTCTTGCAGTCTTTTCATATATATATATATATATATATATATATATATATATATATATATATATATATATATATATATATATATATATATATATATATATAATAAGGGATACAAAATTTCAGACGAGGAAAAGCATTAAAACACAACAAATTATGTTTTTCTTCCCTCGCCATTTTCAAAACCATAGCTACATTTGTTTCTCTAAGTTTCACAGGCTATAAACAAACATCCAGTGCAAGGGCCCACCAAACGAAAGATTTAAGCTCCCGAATGTTGCATAAGCTCAAACCACTGCAATCAAGTAGGTAGTAGGTAACATGGTGGTTAATAAAATTTTCCAAAAATGAGAATCTAGAAGATAAATAAATAAGTAAAAAGATTATAGCAATTATGGCTTACTTGTCTTAACAAATCAGCAAGAGTTCTTGGAAGAGTTTCGATGTCCTTCAAGATGACAAAATATGGGAATGGGAAAGAATCCATGTATTTACCTGTCTCCAACTTCCCATCTTCAAATGTAGCTTCCTGAAAATTGGAAAGAAAAAATCAGGGAAATCACATTTTACATCCTAACTTTTTACGAATTTGCCCTTCATTTATATTTTCCCCGAAAGCTGTCATTTTCTCAACCTGTGCTTTGTTGAAAGTTAGATACATCTCCAGTGGACACGTATAAAAAAAAGGTGTTAACCTTTTTAAAAAAGACACTTTGCCCCCATTTTATAGTAAGTTTTTTATTAACTTATTCAATTATCACCATGAACAGTGGACCCCACACCTCACCTTTCATCTCCAGCAACAAATAGCATGGGGGTGTAAATGGTAAAATATTAAAAAAGGGGAGGGAGTGTGATTAAATAATTAATTACCAGAACTTGTGTTATTGATTCGGCTGGGTTGTTATCCAAAATAAGAAAAGCAACCATTCGTTTTTTGCTCAAAAGATGTCTAACACAACGCTTGAGCTTCTCCTTCTCATGGAAAAGGCCATCAGCTATGATCAAAACAAGCTGCTCTAATGGATTTTGTCCAGATGGCAATCTTGCATTCATTACAGCAGAATCCAACGTGTTGTTTATGTATTTCAGTAAATCAGCCATGGGCTCATCCTCTATCGTGTTCTCTTGCTTGAATGTCAGACTCGAAAGCATCTGATTCACTCAACAAAGCAAAATATTAAATAAGTTGATAACAATGTATCCTAATATTGATTATTAAGTGAAAAACGAACCTTGACTCCAGATTCACCAGTGAAGGGGTGATCAAAGTCGTGTAACAATTGAATATTTCCCTTTTTCCCAAAACTTGCAACTGCTAAATTCCCAACTTCTAATTGAGACATTGCACGACAAACAGTGACCAAAGCTTCAATAGCAACATTCCCACAGTTGTTCTCTGACATGCTGCGTGAATCATCCACAGCAATCATGACTTGATAGTTTCGTTTGTTAGGTCTTGTTCGCCTCAACCATATTTTATCTTTCC